TAACCATCACGGGCATCAGGCTCTGTGCTGCTGTGCTGCAGACCCTGGGTTCCTCAGGAGCCCCGTGAGTCAGGCACCGCTCCGTTTTTCCGTGGGGACACGACGGTTTGGTGAACAGAAAAGACGGATCAGGAGTAGGGGCGGCATTCCGGGAGATTATATCAGATTCGCACGCCCGACTCAAGCAGCCTGAGCCGGATGCCCGCCAGGCTGGGCACGGCCGGCCGGAGCGAGCTCTAGGCTCGTCGGGCGGCCGCACGGGGCAGACAGCCCTCTCCAGCGGCGGCCCACCTTTCGGAGGAGCGCGGCCGGCGGGCCGGACGCCGCCAGGACGGGCTCGAGGGCCGAGACGGGGAAGGGGCGCGGCGGGCCTTACCGGCTCTCGGGGCACAGCGCTCCTGCACAGCGCGGCCAGGCTCAACAGCACGAGCGACATCGCGGGGCGCGCGCCGCGCCGCGCGCGCGGCGGTGGGCGGGCGGGAGCCGGGCCCCTTGGCGCAACCGCCGAGTCTGGGGCAGCCGGGCGGCGCGGCGCGGACGAAGCCTCCTGGCTTTCTTGGGGAGCTAGCTCTTCGCAGAAGTAAGTTACACGATGCTGGCGATCAAACCCCCGCTCCCCAGGTTTCCGGGCCGCTGTGCTTCCTCGGAATGAGGATTGACGGCAACGCCTGGGCCTCCCCGGCAGCGGGAGCCTCCGCACCGCACCGCGGGAGCTGCAGTCCTCAGGTGTCGCCGTGTCCCTGTGTCCGGATCCCTCGGCGCTGTCTAAAGTGAGATTGCGACCGACCTTGGGCCGGGCAGCCCCTCCGCGGTCATTCTGGGGCGGCCCAGGTACCATCCCTTGAGACAGTGATTCGGGAGGCTAACATAACAGACACCAGCGGGCTAACAGGAGAGTCACAGAGCCTGGAGCGCCAGTGCTTCAGCGCCTTCGGGCGACCACCTGAGAGTCACTTGTAGGCTGAATTAGCTCCATGCTACCGATGAGAAGACAGAGGCCTAGAGAGAGAGAACTTACGGATGTGTTAGCTGTCCGCTTCGAGGTGGCACTGAGTTAGGCAACTGGTTTTGTTTTTGTTTTTGCTGAGCCCACTGTGTGCCGGGCCTGGCCCACCTGCCAGGTTTGTGTTTTGGCCTGTGTGTAGTGGGGCCCAGTGCCCAGCCTCAGGGTCAGCCAGGGTCTCTGGCATCTCTGGCATGCCTGCATGTGGGGCTGTAGGTGACATTTCCAGGCGATTGGTATGATTCCTGACCAAGGAGGGTCCTGCCTGGACCCGGACCATCCTCTCTGAGTTGCTTTGGGCCTGTGGGCCCTGAGAGCATTTCCAGCTCTAACAGTCATCTTCCTGTTCGGCAGACACTTACTGGGTGCCAGGTACAGGGGTGCAAAGGTAAATGACACCTGGGTGCTGGCTGATGGGTGCAGTGAGAAGTATATTCAAGGACGCAGGTGCCCGCCCTGCTGAGGAAGTGCAGATGGGTTAGTGAACTTTGTCCCATGGTAGCAATAGTGAAGCACAGCAGTGGCTTAGGTAGTGGTCACTTTTTAGTTTTAGAAAGGCCACCAGGGGGGCTGTGCAGGGTGGGTAGGAGCCAGCCCTCTGAGACCCGCCAGCCGGCAGCCGCTCACCTGCGTGCTCTCATCCCAGTGAGTGTCTGAGTCCCCGTGCACTCATTCCCAGTGAGTATCCGAGTCCCGCGTGCACTCATCCCAGTGAGTGTCCGAGTCCCGCGTGCACTCATCCCAGTGAGTATCCGAGTCCCGCGTGCACTCATCCCAGTGAGTATCTGAGTCCCGCGTGCACTCATCCCAGTGAGTGTCCGAGTCCCGCGTGCACTCATCCCAGTGAGTATCTGAGTCCTCCGTGCACTCATCCCAGTGAGTATCCGAGTCCCCAGTGCACTCATCCCAGTGAGTATCCGAGTCCCGCGTGGAGAGCTGGTGCTGATCAGACGCAAGGGCTCTGGGACACCAGGGGTGCAGAGGTTGGGCAGAGATAGGCTTCTCGAGCCAGACGTGCCCAGCCGGTGGTGACAAGGAGGATGGGCCCTGGGGGAGGAGAGCTTCCTGAAGGGGCGGGAGGACTAGGAGACCCCGCAGCGGGAAAACCAGGGAGTAAGGAGGGGCAAAGGGACCAGGGTCCTGGCCTGAGGGAGGCCAATGTCCTTGGCAAGAACAGGTGGGACAGGCATGGGAGGGGAAGGACACACGCGACACAGTGCGCTTCGTGTCTGGGGCTTAGTGGTTGCTGGTCGGATGTTGGATGAGTACACTAACTAACGCGTACCTTCCTCCGAGGCTGGTGCCGAGGCCTGCGCGCCAGAGAGCGCTGGTTTGAGCTTCCTCCTTTTTCCCCACAGGCAGGGTGAAGGTCAGGGCCTGTGTCAGAGCCTGGGCCAGACGCCGCCCCCCCCCCCCCCCGCCCCGG